CCAAGCCTTGTTCCTTGTGAGATTGAAGTGCTTTGGTGTGTGTTTCTTGAAGATTGTGAGAGAAAAGGAGAGTAGAGCAAGAAGAGAAGAAGGAGGCCAAACATCTTGGTGTTATTTCAGTGATTTCCTTAAGGTATAACTCAGTTCCCCTTTGTTTTCATGCTCATTATCCCTTATAGCTTCATGGAAGTTCTTCTTGAACCTTCTTCCCAAGCTTGTTTGTGTCTTAGGGTTCATAATACGTTGTTTAGCCTCTAGATCTAGGCATGATTAAGCTCCAGGAGCTTGGATATATTGCCTTTATGGAGCCATAGTGCATGAAAGCCCTAGATCTACTCTTTTGGTGCATTTTGAGCCCTAAAACCCTCATGGGTGTTTATTTACACGTAAAGTTGGAAACTTTACGTGTAAACCAAGCCCTAGAAACCCAGATCTATGAATGGCATGGGTTAGATTCAAGCAGAATCGCGTGTATAGTATTTACATGTGGCAGACTCGGCGAGTCGTTCATCTGACTCGGCGATTCGAGTCGCGAGTCCCCGAGTTTTCCCCCTTTGCGTGTTTGCGGGTTTGAGTAGTGAGTCATAGGGTGTGACTCAGTGGGTTGGAAGCCAGACTCACTCATGTAATAACTTGGCAAGTGAATTCCATGACTCGGCGAGTTCAAGGCAATCTTCTTGCCTCAAGAACGGACTCGGCAAGTTGTTCATACAACTCGGTGAGTCTCAGCATAGAGTGTTCTTTAGATGAAGATGAACTCGACGAGTTGTTCATACAACTCGGCGAGTAGAATGAAGAACGTTGGGTCATTAACTTAGAAGGAAAACTCGTCGAGTCAATGCCAAACTCGACTAGTAGAGACGGGATAGTGGTCAGACAAAGGGATAGGGACTCGGCGAGTTGGCAAGCCAACTCGCGAGTCGGGTCAACTACAAGTTGAATTTGATTTTGACTCATGGTTTGGTTAAGGGTAAATGGTCAGTTTACCCTGAGGTCGGTTAGCAGTATGTGACTAAGTGTTTGGTGGGAATTGCAGCCGGAGGATATCCGGAGCAGCAGCAGCAGTCAAACAGTTCCCATGCAGAGCAGCAGCTACGAGGTGAGTTACCTTCCAGTAGCGGTGGGTCTACGGCCACAATGTCGGCCCACTAGTAGGAGTTGTATGATAGATGTTTGTCTCCGTGATATTCATCTAGGGTTGCTACTACCTGTGTTATGGTTATGGGCTAGTATGATATGATGCTATGTGGTAGTAGTAGGGGTGAAATAGTCCCCAGTATTCGGTCGCAAGGACCGAAGGGTAGGTCGGGCACCCAGATATGCCCGACAGTATTCGGTCGCAAGGACCGAAGGGTAGGTCGGGCACCCAGATATGCCCTGCAGTATTCGGTTGCAAGGACCGAAGGGTAGGTCGGGCACCCAGATATGCCCGACAGTATTCGGTTGCAAGGACCGAAGGGGTAGGTCGGGCACCCAAATATGCCCGGCAGTATCCGGTCGCAAGGACCGAAGGGGTAGGTCGGGCACCCAGATATGCCCGGTAGTATATGTATGTTATGTGATTTTATGATATGTGGTACAGTGGGGGAACTCACTAAGCTTCGTGCTTACAGTTTTCAGTTTTGGTTTCAGGTACCTCTTCTTTGAAAGGGAAAGAGTTGGTGCGGTAGCGGCCCATCACACACACGCCTTGTATTCCACACTATGAGATTCCTGGGGATTATCCTCTGACGTTGTTATGTTTTTATAAACTGATTTCCAAACACGCACACTTTTATGAATGATATGATCGGTGTATGTTTTACTACTAATGTTTGCTAATTATATGTTAAAAAAAAAATTGGCTCGTATTTTTGGGATGTTACATAGATTCACATTGGTATTGGTACGTAGCCTCTGGCCATGTAGAGTATGTATCTGTAAGAGAATGATTTATATTCTATGACATTGTTAGATGGTTAGACAAGACTATAAGCCTGAAATCTACAAAAATGTTTAATCAGAAAATGTATGTCTTCTGTGCCATTTGGGCCGAAACTCTATTGATGTTTATCAAGTATTGAAATTGTTATGTCTCATTGATTGTATATATTTGAATTAAATCATTGATTGATATGAAAAGCTTATCACATCATTCACATATGCCTTTGTTGTTTATTGTTCCTCTTTGTTTCTGCCATATTGAGGTATATATATGGCATAACATTATATTGTATCTATTATTGAACTCACTAAGCGTCACCGCTTATCCTCTCAATGTTTAACAATTGCAGGAGATAAACATCCAATATAGTTATATATTGATAGTTATATACCGATTAGAGATTTTGAATAGTTTGAAACTATTGTATTTTGTACTCCCGTATATATAAAACTATAGTATCCTGGGTAGTTGTGTAATATATAACACTTTGTAATAGTCGGTTTGTATCCAATCGTTTGTAATCACTTTATCAATGTAAAAAATATTGTTTGTTTTATGAATATGCATGTAGCATGTTTTGGAGTAACAATATTGTGAAGTATGAAAGTTTGGGTCTTTCGGAAATACGAAAGTTAGGGTCTTTCAATAACCGAAAGTATCAGCAAGGGAAAAATCGTCAACATCAAAAAATTAATTTTTTTTGCAACACACTTGTAACGCCAGCTGCATTTTTACTGATTTCGGGTAAAGAATAGCAATTCAAGAATGCAAAAAAATGTAAGCAGAAAACTTAGGAAAAAGGTAAAACCATAACAAAAATGTAAGCTTAAATGGCTGATGTTGTTTGTGTTATATGTCCAATTCCATTCCAATCTTCATTCTGTCCCACATTAGTACATCCACTGCGTTGCTTATCAGAAAGTGATTGTTGGTTTTTATTCAAACATTATGCATTTGGTTCGATTCTTTTCTATCCCTGATTCGAAAATGAAAAATGTCTTTTGCATCATATTACTTTCCTGTGTAGCCGTTGTTCATGTCTAGGCTCCATTTATAGTTTTTTTTTGTTCCTGATTCCAATCTTCATTCCATTACTGTTCCTGATTCCAATACTCATTCCAGCTATGTTATATTATTGATTCCATTCTTGTTTCTCTTTTCTGTCCCTAATTCCAATCTTCATTCTATTCCTGTTCTATTTTTGATTCAAGTCTTCATTTCATTCCATTCCATACTAATCAAAGGAATGATAACAAAAATCTTAAAAATGTCCAAGTACTCACAAAACCACAACTATAAACACAATGGCAAAACTGTCCAACTATAACAAAGGAAACAGATACAATCCAAGTAGTCACAAAACCAAATTATCTTCAAAAAATAAATGTGTATAGTATCCACAATCACAATTCCATTACAAATGTGCTTAATAAACCAACATCACAATTCCCTTACAAAAGTTAGAAAAAAAAGGTAAAACCAACATTACCCTATTACATAATTAACCATCTTAGATTAACCTAACTAGCCCAATTACATAAACAGAAACAAAATAAAGATGCTAACCACAACAATACCAAACATCATCAACCTCCAAAGGAATATACCAGGCTCCTTATTGTCATTGACCTTAGGCTTCATTAACTTCTTCAGCAGAACCACGTTCTCCTTCTCCAGATCCATATTCTTTTTTGAAAGGTTCATATTTTCCTTGAACAATTCCATATTCTCCCTATGCAACTCATTAATTTTATTCTTATATGTGTGCATACCCAAATCCTCATCTACCCATATTACCATATAAAAAAATTACAATCTTTTGAAGGGTCCTATAAAAAAGTATAGTATCTGAGTAAGCATTACAAAATTAAATCAATCAAGGCTAGAATTTCACATACCAAGGAATTTGGGCATGAAATGAAATGTTGGCTAGGGTTCTTCCGGGTAGTCGAAGTATATATTTGGTTGTTCACAACATGTTTTTATAGTTTAAAGTTAAGGAAGAAGAAGAAAAAACCACTTGATCGATCACCCTTTCTGCAACAGCTGTGAGGAAAGAAGAAGTCGATGAGAAACAATTTAGTGATTTTGAAGCCGACAACATCTTTTAAACTTAACATTTATTTTGTAATTGATACTACGTCAGTATTCTTACCGGTTGCCAAATTGCAACCGATTAAAAAGCATTAAATGGGGAAAAAAGTATATTAACTAAATTGATCGTAAAATAAATATAATTGTTTATTTAAGCGTTGAGGCAAAATACATAGGGTTTTAGATAGGGATGGCAAAAAAGTCCGAACCCGAAGGGGAAACCCGAAACCCGATCATTTCGGGTCGGGTAATAGGTCGTAATCGGTTTTTTATTAGGTTCGGGGCAGGGGGTGGGTTATCCTCGCCCCGACCCACCCCACCCCGATATATATATATATATATATATATATATATATATATATATATATATATATATATATATATATATTATAATATGTTTGAAACCTTTTGATGTTATTCAAAGATAAAATGCTTATTGTGGAAAATCTTTGTAGTTATTAACGATCTGATGTAAATGATAGTTTTTTTTTTTTTTTTTTTTTTTTTTTTTTTTTTTTTTTGTGGTATTACACTAAACTTAAGTCAAGTAGATTTTAATATAACATTAAGTTTATTTTATTAAAGTGATGCATCATATTTTTAATTTAAAAGAGATGCCAGGAATGTATTTTTTATAAGATATTGGGGTACCCTAAAACGGAATAAAAATTTCGTTATGAATTGTTGTAAACCCGATAAAATACCCGAAACCCGACAGGAAAACCCGAAACCCAATGGAACACCCCAGTAAAATACTCGAAAGATATCGGGTCGGTTTTGGAAAACTATGCCCGCTCCGAACCCGCCCCGTTGTCATTTCTAGTTTTAGAGTGGTTTTCCAAAACTTAAATCAGCTATTATCATTTTTTTTTCAAAACTAAAATAATTCGTGGTTTCGAGTCCAAAGTCCTGGTAGATTGGAAGCAAACTTTTACATGTAATACCCCTTCTCAACTGTGCTTACGACAATAACCAGGAGAAAATGGCCGCCACGGATGCAACATCCACCGCCGACGATTTCGAAGAAGAAAGCATCAGCAAATGGGAATCCCTCCGCCTCAAAACCCTAGCCGAGCAAAGTTACAGTTCCTCCGACCTCAAATTAGCTATCAAGCACGCCAAGCGCGCTCACCGTCTATGCCCCACACTCGACGGCGTGTCGGAAATGCTAACAGCCTTCAAAATACTCAGCGCCGCCGAAAATACCACAGAAACTACTGGAACGCCTGATTGGTACAAGATTTTCGAAGTAGAACCTTTTTCTGACATCAATTTAATTAAGAAACAGTATAAAAAACTAGCCCTAATTTTGCATCCTGACAAGAACAAGTTTGTCGCCTCCGAAGAGGCCTTTAAGTTGGTAAACGAAGCGTTTAGTGTTCTGTCTGACAAGATTAGGAGGAAAGAGTATGATATGAAGCTTAGAATCGCAATACAGACTGAGGCAGAGGCGGAGGCGGGAGTGGATCCCGGAGGTGATGCTGTGACACTAGACACTTTTTGGACAGCGTGTTCAACTTGTAGGCTGTTGCATCAGTTTGAAAGGAAGTATTTGGGGCATAATCTGATGTGCCCTAGTTGTAAGAAGAGTTTCAAAGCCGTGGAGGTGGATGATGGTAAGAAAGGGTATACAAAAGTGGTGGTCGATGAAAAGGAAAACATTGATACATTTGAAAGTGATAAGGTCTCAACTCGAAACGAATCAAAGAGGAAAATGAGTAGTGTTGGAGAGATCATGAAGAGGTCCGAGCAATCAAAAAAGATTGAAAGGTCAAAAACGGAAGATGGGGGTAAGCATTCAAGAGTTGTGAATAACACATTGAAGGAGAAGGGGAAGAGAAAGAATGACAGTGATGAAGAAGAAATGATGACATTAGCTCAAATGCAGAAATTAGTGAAAACAAATGTGAACGATGGTAAATTGAAAGTAAATAAGGTACAAAGAAGTGGATCAAAGAGGGAAAATTCAAGAAACGAGACAAAGGGAGAAGAGAAGAACCAGGATCTTGAGATAATGACAGTAGAAGACTCAGACTTTTACGATTTTGATAAAGGAAGAGTCGAAAAGAGTTTCAAGAAAGGACAAATATGGGGTTTATATGATGATGATGATGGAATGCCAAGGCATTATGGTTTAATTAATGAAGTGGTGTCAACACATCCATTTGAGGTGGACATGTCTTGGTTGGACCCACAAAGCAATGGTGATGAAGAGTTGGTTAATTTGGAAAGAACTGGATTTCATGTATCTTGTGGAAGGTTTAAGGTTTCAAAGAAAACTTTAGTTAGATCACTCAATGTGTTTTCTCATATTGTGGAGTGTGAAAGAGCAGCAAGAGAGGTTTACAGGATTTATCCTAAGAAGGGTTCAGTGTGGGCACTTTATAATAGTGAGACAAAAGACAAAAGATGTTATGATATAGCTGTGTTTTTGACAAGTTATAGTGAGGTACATGGATTGAGCATGGGGTACCTTGAAAAGGTGAATGGGTTTAAAACAATTTTCAGGAGAAGAGAGATTGGGTTTCGTGCTATCAGATGGCTTGAAAAACATGATGCTGGGTTGTTTTCACATCAGATTCCAGCAAGGAAGCTTTCTGGGGAAGAGGTGAAAGATCTTTCAGGAGATTGTTGGGAATTAGATCCTGCCTCACTTCCTACTGATCTACTCACTATTGGTTGACAGAAATTGCATTTGGTTTTCCACAATTGATTAACTTTTTGTATGTACAGTTCTCTATTAGTTCATATTCGGTTCTTCAGATGGAATAAGGCATGGAGCAGGTTATCAATTGGATTACTGCATTTGTATGCAAATCATGCATCAAATGGGATAGAAAATCTGTGTTTCTATTTATGATAACCTTAAACTACATATTCTCATTTCAGTTACATACTTACATTAGGCTTTCTGTGTTTTGTCTCCTTGGCCAGTGCATTTATAATCTTTAACCTACAATGAGCACAGTTATGTGGGATTAATTCTCAAACTTTAAAAATAAAAACTAAGAACCTAACCAAGTAAGGATTGAAGATTGGTGGTTTGACTGTGTGTTTCATTTTTTATCGTAATGGATTTTTATGTTTTTAGTGGATTGTGTTGTTATGTTTTGGTTGTAAACTTTTAAACTTAGTAGTTTTAATATTTCATTGAACTATTTAGTTGATTTTGGTGTTTTCGATTGGTTTTAAATAGCTTAACAATGGAAAGGAATCTTATTTACTTTGTTTAGTGGAAATAGTTTAAACCCTAAACTCATGAACCTATGGCGTTGAACCCGAGAAACCGAATCCATTCATAAATCAAAACCCAATTGGTTCTACTGAAAACCGAAAACCGAAATGAGTGGTTTGAGTTCGGTTTTACTCCAAAATTGACTCAAACCCATGCTCACCTCTACTTGTAGTGGCAAAATTGTAATTTACGTGAAAAGTATGACCTAAGTTGCAAGTAAATGAAAAGTTGCTTGAATTAAATAAGTAAAAGAAGTCTTCACCTTCATATTTAGTCAAACGAGCTAGTATAAATTGTGTTGGTTCTTGAAAGAATAAGAGGAAGCTCTAAATCCTAAAATATGTTTAAAAAAAACAACAAAATTGAAGCTTAAAGTTGGAGGCTTCAAGAAACTGAAACTAGAATATAACTGTATTGTATTAATTATTAAAAGAGAAATCGATGAAAAAGAAGAGGTTTAAAGTATAAGTTCTCATTTTGAGTCTTACGTACGGGTTTAGCTAAACTTAGCTCAAAATGGATTATTATATCTTGTGTGGTAGAAATTGATGGATAAAGTGATCACCCTCATGTTGATATTGTGTAATAAAATTATATGGTCATTGGAGGACTTACTGTTGGTAAATTTTGTGTTTTATATTCTAGGCTTCATCCTCCCCTTTGATTCTTTAAAAATAAAATAATAATAAAGAAACTACATGTATAAATATTAACTAAATACGGAATGAGAGTGAAATTGTGATTTTACAAGGTTTAACTTAAATGCAACCTTTCCAACGGCATGAGCTTGGGAGTTGGGAGAGATGATAATGCTATCCTTAACAAAAATGAAACCACAAGACCAACTTTGATAAAAATATACATCTTGAATCAAATTTCGGAAAATGATATACCTGAGGGGTCAAATATGTAACTTACTCCATATGTATTTTATTTATGCTTTATTACAATGTACGTCCCTCCATTTTATGCCTATTAGAATACCTAGCCCTCACGTTTGTTCTGTTCTCAAAGGTCAGAACTCCCATTTGCCCTTACTGTATATAATCGTGTTCAGATTCTCAGGCTTCTACCCTCTTCTCATCCTGTTTCGTTCATCTCTTCTTTCGTTTCACTTCATCTGTCTATATATTTACCATCTTTCTTCGTGATTTCTAAATTCCCCTTGCACAATGGGTTACGAGAACGATCCGTAAGTTCCAGTGCTCTCTAATCTAGGTTTTTTATTTTTGCTTACGATTCTTCTAGGGTTAGGTTATGCATACGACCTTAATCGTGTTCTTTTTGTTCTTAAATTTTCAGCTATCGCGATGAAGATGGCGAGCCGTTGATGGATTACGACGACGGATTTCAATCCGATCACGGTGATGATAACAACAATCAACATCAAAACCTCCTTGATGACAATCTCGATGATGAATTGGAAGATAATGATTGGCAGAGTAATAGGCAGGAACGGTCTCCGACGCCGGTTCACAACGAATCCGATTCGAAGTCGAAGCCCCGTAAAAGGTTAATCAAGAAGAGCACGGCGGAGGAGACCTTGCCGGATTTCGCGATTGATGATGACGTGGAGGATGAAATGGCGAGTTTTGTCAGGGATGATTCGGATAGTGGCGGTGGGAAGAGGAAGAAGTTTTCCAGTGGCGGTGGGAGTAGTAGCAAGAAGAGGGAGAAGAAGTTGAGTGCTTCCAAGTTCTCGGATAGAGGAGGGAGATCGAATGAGAAAGGTGGGTCGAAATTTAAGGTAAATAGTAAAAGGGGTGGGCGTTCTGGTGGGGATGATGCAGAAGTTAAAGAGATGTGGGATACAATTGCTGGCGGCGATTCAGAGGTACATTTTAGTTGCAAATTGGCTGTGTTTTGTGTGTTGAAGATTCATCTTCTCTTTTGGATTCCGTGGGGATAATTTGTTACGAACACTGTCAAGTACATTGTTCTAACTAATCTGATAACACTGGTTTCATCCCAATATTAATCTCTCTTGATCGTGCAACTTAAACATTTGTTTTTCTATGGCTTTTGGCTTTTGGGTGCCATGACACTGTATTTTTTCTGATAGCCTTTGCTTTTGACTGGTGCAGGATGACAAAGAGGGTCCAAGAATGCTAGATGATGATAATTTCATAGATGATACCGGTGTTGATCCAGCTGATCGATATGCAAGCGACCATGGAGGTTATTCTCCCAGCCGTGCTCCTCAGGTAAGAAGCTCATCGATATATATGAAGTAAGTTGTATGTATTTAGTATCTGCTACTATTTTCTCAGCTAAATATTATAATGATATAGGCTGAGGAGGGTGAAGAAGATGATGAAATCAAGGACATGTTCAAGATGGGTAAGAAGAAGAAGAAGACTGAGAAAAGTGCTGCAGAGATTGCATTACTTGTTGAAAATGTGATGGCTGAACTTGAAGTTGTAGCAGAAGAAGATGCAGAACTAAACAGACAATCAAAACCAGCTATTAATAAACTCAGAAAGTTGCCACTTCTAACTGAAGTACTATCTAAGTAAAGTCTTTTATTTGCAAAAGTCCAACATCTGGTTCACAATATTGTTTATATCATTTACCTTTTTAAATTCTTAATGCAGGAAGCAACTTCAATTAGAGTTTCTAGATCATGGAGTTCTAACTCTTTTGAAAAATTGGCTTGAACCCCTTCCGGATGGAAGCTTGCCCAATATAAACATTCGTGCAGAAATATTGAAGATCCTAACCGAGGTATATAATAAACCAGGATTAATTATATCCCTTTTTTTATGTTGGTGTAACTAATTATGAGTTGTTCTTATCCTCCAGTTCCCCATTGATTTAGATCAATATGATAGAAGAGAGCAATTAAAGAAAAGTGGGCTTGGAAAGGTTATTATGTTCTTGTCAAAATCTGATGAAGAGACCACATCCAATAGAAAGCTTGCGAAAGACTTGGTTGACAAATGGGTAAGTATATATGGATGTTGAACAAAATAAAAATTCCCTCTTTTATTATGTAAAGATCTTGATTATTCATTATCATTAAAATTATAAATGTAATGCAGAGTCGACCAATATTTAATAAGAGCACAAGATTTGAGGACATGCGAAACTATGAAGATGAGAGAATGCCACCCATGCGTCGACCAACAATGAAAAAGTATATTTTCAAGTTCCACATACATGGATTTGTATTTAACATATTTTTTTGTTAATGATAAAAAGCTAGTTTTTATTCTTCTGATATTTTGCATCTCACTATTAATAGGCCTATGAATAAAGCTTCAGGGATGCATTCAAGAGATGATGATCTGGATTTGGCTGAATATTCTCAGTAAGTTGTTTGATTGGTGCATCATATGTTGCTTTTTCTGTTTAATCATTTTTTAAAATTATTTAGATGTTGTAATGTTTTGAATATGAATTTAGGGAACCAAAATCTGGAAACTCATCTTCTAGACTAACATCAAGGCCTGAAGCAATGCCACTAGATTTTATAATACGCCCACAATCAAAGATTGATCCTGATGAAATTAGAGCCCGGGCTAAACAAGTTGTGCAAGATCAGCGTCGCCTCAAGGTCTGTGTTTTTGAATTTTTCTTTTTAATCTTAAAAGTTCTTAAAAGTTATAATCTCAATAATATATGTTTTTATGCAATTGATGACAGATGAACAAGAGGTTGCAACAGTTGAAAGCACCTAAAAAGAAACAGCTTCAAGCTACAAAGCTAAGTGTGGAGGGCCGTGGAATGGTGAAGTACTTGTAGGCTTAATGACCCAACACAAGAATATCACTCCTTTTTTCAGGCGGAAGTCGTGTGTATGATAAAATTGCAAAATTTTAATGTTCTGCAATGTTTTTTTTTTTTTTTTTTTTTTTTTTTTTTTTTTTTATGTTATAAATGAATTCAACTCTTTTCATTTTGTATGATTAAATTTATAGTATTGCTTTTGGTGGATAAAATTCTATTATTGTGTTAATTTAGGTGTTTGACGAAATATTTGAACACGAGCACCTTTCCTTGACCGTGGGCTGCTTGCAGACATAACAATTTGTATTTTGTCCTCCAATTTGTGACTTAGGTAATGTCATGCAATCCAACTTAATTTTATAATAACGTGACATTAATTCAGAATTCATAAAACATTTTCTAGGACCCATGAGTCTCACATCGGTTATAACCAAGCTTTCTAATCCTTGTTTAGGGCTAGGGATGTTTGCATGTTATGAGGTCTAGTTGGTTCATCCAACATTCCAAATGTTTTATAAATTGTGTGATGCCACAGGGCCGTGATTCAAAGAGAAGGGAGTGGGGGCATGTGATCTAATAATCTCTATACATAATAAATTTTTAAATTCAGATGAGTTTTTTTTTATAAATATGTGGTGCCCTCAACGGCTCAACCACATAAAAGGAAGGTGCCCACCAAAAAATTGAAGATCGCAACTGTTCATACCAGCACTTCTTGGATATAATGTATTTAACCTTATCATGAAGATCCTTGATAGACCCTTGTTGAATCTATCGTATCTTGTTGAATCTATCGTATATCCCAGGCATTGTAAAGCTCACACTAACCGAAATTTTTGATAATATTCATAAAGATAGTTTTTCACAATTCTAGAGGTGAGAGTCTCTCGAAAAGAAGAACAATATTGTCTTACAAATTAATTCTTAGCTACCATTCTCTACCTTCTAACTAGATACATATACTACTAGGACTAAGATGAGACAAACGACCACAAAAAACTGTCCCCACCACATGATACTACCACTAACATAAAATCCTACACTAATATCAAAAGTACTAAAATACCCCTTTGGTTATAACCCACTAAAATTGGGGCTTATCAATCCCTAAATGGATAGGTTGAAGACCTGAAGTCCTTAAGCTTTGATAGATTTGTTGGTTACATAAAGGAAGGTTGATTTGATTATCATTGATACATAGGATTCTCTCTTCAGAGTAGTGTTGGTAGAGATGAGATTTAAAACCGGACTCGGAACCGTTAGAATCGGAATATATAGAACCGGTTCCGATTCTGGGTTTAAAAATTGACTTTATCCAGGTTTCAGGTAATCCGTGTTTGAGTCCATTGGGTTTGGATAAACCGGGTCTAAGAACCGGAACCTGTGTTAGGAATCGGAACCACTTTTAGGGGCTAAAATCAGTTTCTGTGAAATGTTTAAAACATGCATATCTCATTTGTTTTAAGTCGGATTGACATACTGTTTTTCCAATGTGTAGCTTAGAGTTTGTACATGATTTTATATTATAAATATGTTATTTTTAGTTTTATATTTATAGATTTACAGTCCTCTAAAGTCAAGATATCAAAGATAGAAGTTTTTACATTTTTAGTTTTTTGTATTCTATGAAAGTTTTAAAACGTATATATCTTATTTGTTTGAAGTCGGAATTACATTCGGTTTTTTTCCAACTTGTAGCTTAGAGTTTGTACATGATTTTAGACTATAATTTTGTCATTTTTGGTATCAAAGCTGAAAATTTTCAACTTTTCAGCTATTTGTTTTTGTACTTTGTATTATGTGAAAAAGTTAACACATGCATATATCATTCGTTTAAAGTCGGATTGACATGCGGTTTTTTCCGGAGTGTAGTTTAGAGTTTGTACATGAGTTTAGACTATAATTTTGTCAATTTTGGTTTCATATTCAATAACTTACAGTCCCCCGAAGTCGGGATATCAATATGAAAATTTTCAAAGTTTAATCCACTAAGTAGTAAGTAATTGCCAAAAAATTCCGTTTTTTTTAGGGTTTCCGGTTCTAAACCCACTTTATCCGGTTCCAACCTACCCACTTTAATGTTTTCGGGTTTCCTGGTTCTAGACCCACTTTACCCGGTACCGTACCCGGAACGGAACTAGTTCCTACATACCAGTCTGGTTTTCGATTCTACAAAATTTCGTTAACCGATTCCAGGTCCATCCGGTCCGGGTTTGGACCCACTTTCATCCATAAGTGTTGGTATACTATGTGCCTTGTAGTACTTCTATTGTTGGAGTAAAGTATTTCTGTTGGGACAAGGTTTGTTTGCCTTTCTCTTGACAATTCTAGCTGTCTTTCTGGGTCCATAACTGATTCTAGGGAAATATTGTAATTGTTTCTTCCAAATAGCGTTCTTGTTGCTCTAGTTGTTTAATATTTGCCTCTAATCATTGCTCGATAGCCACAAATCTAATCTTCTTGGGTTGGAAGTTCTGTTGTCTGTGTAGAACTTTTATTGAGGATACTAGACATTTTAGAACTCATTTCTTTGGTTCTTTTTCAGATTGTTCTTTAAAGATTTTATTGGGATCTTCAAAGACGTATATCTTTCCGCCTGTTCTTTTTACTGGGAGTTTACCACTAACGGAGAGATTATCAAGTCTTTTGGTCAAACTTGATATTGAGTCTTCTAGGTCAGCTGGTTGAACTTCCTTTTCTATCACAGTATGAGCTACTTGCTTGAGCTTATCAAACTTTTCCTCAAGTTTAATTAACTTCCGACTTTGCTTGACGTCTAAATAAAGTAAAATGATATTTTGTATGATTATTGTCCACTAGCGTTAAAATTGAATCGTCCCGTTCCACTTTGTCCTGAAGCTCGAAGTGTCCGCATAGGAAACAAAAGATGTCTGCCATTAGTATGAATTATTATGTAAATTATTAGTATGAATTATCATGTGGGGCCAATGTAATATAATTAAATAATGGTCCGAGAATATTCTCCGGCATATGCTATGGTTTATTCCTTTATGCTTTGGCATATTTCATATGTCATTTCTTTGTGTTTCGCATATATAAAGACATTTGTATCAGTTGTAAAAAATCATTGAAAAACTCATTACCACCGTCATTGCATAATCAAGCTTCCGCAATATTTTAATAAAAAATGTGTGTTTTTAATACTTGTACTTTACAATTTTAGTACTTGTACTTTAAAGTTTTAGTTTTTGAGCTTTGGTACAAGATAAGGTTATTGGCAACATAATTTTCATATTGGTATTAGAGCTTTGAATAAAAACATTCTTAACTCTATGTAAGGCTAAACTCTTAGGGTATATTCAGGAAAAATACTAAGTGTATTATTTTACCAAATATTTGTATTTCTACGGTAACGTTTTTATTAAAAATTTCTAAAAACCTCTTGTTTTCGATAAAAGACAGCGCAATTGCTTCTTTATAAAAAGTACCGAAAGAATCAGGAAAAGTTTGAAGTTAATCGTGTGGTGAGTCTAAAACAAGATTGTAAATATAACCTTGAAGTTTTTAATGTTATGTCCGAGCGCTTTGAGCAAGAAATACAATATTGGTAAGATAATTCACGAACTATAGATCCTGAATATATCGTCTTTAGCAAAGATAGTCCTAAACCTACAACAACAAATTTAGCTAATAACTTAGCTTGTGTTTATAGTTGTATAAACCTATTTTCGAAATTCGAAAGTAGCACTTAAAAATTTCAAAAATATTTCTGAAAAACAAAAAGATTTTGAGTTACGAGTCCAAAGTTGTCAAGGGAAGCTTGAATCTTGTGAGGAATTACTAAGAAAAACACAGAGTGAAACCAGAAAAAAACCTTCAACAGATCTCAACTGAGATCCAATAGTCTAAACCACTCACTAAAAGAGAAGTCTCGAGCCTTATTCAGAAAAATCGATGAGCAACAAAAGTTAGTCGAAAAGGAGGCCCTTATACTAACAGAAGACTTAAAACAGAAAATCCAGAAGGTTGAACACCTTCTTCACAAGGTCAACAATCTCATCATCGGATGAGTCTTGCCAATCAAAGGACAACTGCTGAATATCAAAAAACCATGCAAGCTACAGAAGATCTTGAATCACCAACAGTTGGTTTTGCAAAAACATCTGATTATAAAGGAGGTTTGGCTATACAAGTAAATGGTGTTATAAAACAAAATAACACTTTACTTTATTTAGCCATCAAGCAAAGTTAGAAGTTAATTGAACTTGTGGAAAAGTTTTATAAGCTCAAACAAGCAATTCACAAGTAACTTTCACATTCGAGCTCCGTTTTTGACGTTATTTATATCCATGAGTAGGTAAAAATAAGATCTACAACTTTCATTTTGACTCCGTCGGCTAATTCTCGACCGGTCTTAAATTTAACAGTACGAAAAGATTATATTGTTAAATGTCCGTGTAAAATTCATAACTTCTACATACATACTCTGTTTTCGTCTATCTTTCTACCGTTGATTTCCTATTAATTAGATCTTCAATTCTCATTTAGGTCGCGTAGGCCAAAAACCGCTCGATCTAAAATTCGAGTTTCGGGATGTGCACTGCTAAGCCAAATCTTAGAAAAATCATAACTTTCTCATACGAAGTCAGATTTGGACATTTTTTTTTGTATGTTCTTGGTTTAACATATACTAAAACTTTTGTTTATATTTCTAAGGCTAAAAAGTCCTCCATCGTTAATTCACAATTTACATCTCCCGGTGTCGTGCCGGTTTTGCCGTAAAACTTTGACGGACCATAACTTTTTCGTTATAACTCGAATTTCGGTGTTCTTTATATGTAGTGAACCCTTGAGACGTATTCTACAACTTGGTTAAGATTATTTATTCTAAATAATCTTTTGTCGAAAAGTCATTTTCAACCCCTATTATCTTTAAATTGACTAGCCTGGATCTACAGGCGTTACAGTATGAGCTGGAATCTAAAACCTTCTGAACAAACTACGGTATGTGCCCCATCAAGAGTAGCAGTAAACGAAAGGCTCAACAGATCATTAATCATTCAATTCGAGAGATATTGTAGAGCACCCCAACCGAAACGGTACTCAGTTGACAATAATGATCGATAAATAATGGGTAATGATCACTTAGATGAAGATGAAGAACATTTCATAGGAATCTGCTTACAAGCCCCACAGACAGAACATATCCCTTATGATATATGTTTTTGTGAAGATTGCTTAAATGAAGCAAGAATCCAAGAAGATGAATCATTAAAAAAAC